GATGAAATTTTTGTCTAGACTTGTTTAGATCAAAATTTAGTCTATTACGCAAATGGTCAATTATGACTGTGAATACTGTAACACTTGCACGAATAAGCAACAATGATTTGTATGGCTGTAGCACAGGCTACCAAGACTACCCTAGCTTGAAAGGATTAATAGATGCACAATTTGCACTTGTCCTATATTATAATGCAACTTTTCCAATTAAGGTTAGTGTCACAGACAATAGTTAAATGTACAATTGAACGCTAAAAAAGATACTATTTTAACACATCAATAGCCTCATGGGAATACAAATTGAATTGGTATATTCATAATATATTTTAGGTGTTAAACTTATTGAAAACTATACTGTATATATACATATATATTCAATTTAGAATTTTGTTCTGGCACTGCTGTATGGGGTTTTGTACTGTCCATGAAGTAAATTGAGTTTATATATGCAAATGGTGACATATATATGAGAGAGTGTGAACATAGTGCAACTTGTGCCCACTTTAAAAAAAACTGAGTTCAACAAAATTCACATTTGTGATTAATTGTGTATTCATTTGGTACAAAGTCAAGAATATTTCACAGGCCCAAAAATATTTGTCTGATCAGGTAAAATCATTCCCTTTCCATATCTAAACTACACTCAACACATAAACATTGTGTTTTGCATACACTACAGCATAAATTGGTCTGCAAATGTCCTCCAAAGCATCAATATCAGTGCTTGTATCTGAATGCTTTTTCGTAAAAGATATTCTTTCGGTCAGAATTTGCAACCAACTCAAAGCAATTATGCAAGCCAAGTGATTCTTTTATGTGCCTTCGGTCAAGTTTATATGCTGTAGCAGTCATGTAATAACGACTGGTACGTTATGAAATACAACACACAATATACTGCGTTTGGCATAAAGTGAACAAAATTGAGATAACAATATAATGGATAATTGAAAAATAACATGTACGTAGAATTAGTTTTGTCATTTGGTCAAGTTCAGCCTCGAGTTCAGCTACATCGCAATCAATCTCTTCGTTGTCACATTTTAATGGCTGCTGAAAACATTTATTGCTGATCTCTGAGTTTTATCGCACATAATTTTCGAGCTGGATTGTTTATCAAAGGCACGTTTATTGCGATATACTGTAACGAACAGCATTACTCATTTACACAAACGCCATGAGTTGGACGTTCTTCTAACGCTCTTTTAGTGAAAAGCATCAAAGGCAAAAGCTGGTAAATCAGCGACTCGCCATATTGCCGGTTGGAAAAATTGCCAGTATATACACACCAAAGGACAGCTTTTCCAAGCAAATAACCTGCTTGGGCTTCAAAATAGTGTTTGCATACAAAATATTTATAATAGAAAACTGCAGACAAATAAGAAATTAAAATAATACATCTTGAATGTTTTTGCATATTACAGTTGAGTCACTTCTCATAGCTTTACAGTCACTCCTCGGCGGGTCTTGCAAACACAACATTTAACCGGAAGTTGTAAATTACAACATATCACATTTCAACCACCCTCCCCTAGGACCTCTTGTTGCCCTAATTTTTAGGAGTTCACGTGACCAGAGGGAACCAGGGTCTTTGCTGTAGCGCCGTGCGGAAGTAAAAGACCCTGGCTTGCGAGGTTGGGTAATTTATAGGAATATAGCTTATTGTAACTGTATAAATATATATTGTGCGTTTCTACTCCCTATGGGCTGTGGTTCTTTTGGAAATCAAATATCTATTATATTTTGCAATTAATAATATTAAAGTTTAGCCTAAGACATGTGTAGTTTAGTTATAGGTTGGTATTTTGCAATTATGTACCTTACATGCCCCTTAAGTAGAGTATATTTATTAACTGTTTACAATATTTGTGGTATATAATGTAGCCAATATTTGTGGTATATAATGTAGCCATTTGTGGTATATAATGTTACAAGGGTGACAAGGTAATTTATAGGAATATAGCTTATTGTAACTGTATAAATATATTGTGCGTTTCTACTCCCTGTGGGCTGTGGTTCTTTTGGAAATCAAATATCTATTATGTTTTGCAATTAATAATATTAAAGTTTAGCCTAAGACATGTGTAGTTTAGTTAATGTAGGTTGGTGTTTTGCAATTATGTACCGTACATGCCCCTTAAGTAGAGTATATTTATTAACTGTTTACAATATTTGTGGTATATAATGTAGCCATGAATGCATGACCACATGACCCCACAAGATGAACTCCAATGGCTTCTAAATAAGACAATGGATGAAAAGTTCACGAATATTGAGCTTTATATATGATTCGGGTTAAATACAATAATTATTAACCTAGCTTTATATAAAATGTACATACATGTTCTAATAATTGTATTTTGCTTCATACAATGCATATGTGTCAATGTGTGTGAAAACATTACATTATTCAGCTCACTCCCCTTTGGGGCTTTTCAGTCACCGCTTACATCAAGTATTAGGGTTACTTATGTTAGTCTAGACTATATATCTTTATAACAATGAGAATATGATATCACTTTTCTGTGTTTACTCTAACCCACCCTGCCATATTTTGCCTTGTGGGAGGAAACCGAAGCAAAATATAAAATTCAATTACCTTGAAAACACAGGTCTAAATTGCAATCCCTAAAATTTAGAATTTTCTCTTAAATCGCATTAAATCGCAGTGCTTGAAAGTCCCAGTTTTTCCTTAAATCTCCTAAAATCGCCCAAAATCGCATTATATCCCAGCGATTTAAGGCAATTTACCGCCCCAGAGTAGGCCTATTTAGGCAAGAGTGCATTAACGGTTAGGTCCATTTGGAAAACGTTTTGATTCGAAAAACAAGAATCACTTAAAGGCAATTTTTTATCCGTGCTTGGACTGCCTATTTACAAAGGCCGAGCACGGATAAATATAATACGGGTACCAATTTTATCTGTGCCATGTATTTGTCAATCACGACAATATACCGATTTATCTTCGATGTGATTTCTATTTTCCAAGGCATATAAAGAACATCTGAAAACAATCCCAGGTGAAGATCCAAGTAGGTTGGATATGTCAATATTGTTTCTGCGCCATACAAGTCGAATGGTGGAGCTCTTTCCAGATGAACATGTCATTTATCACACACGCGACACCCGTATTCAAGACCTTAACGATTCACTACAGTTCTTCACTGAATGACAACAGCAAGCGACCACAGGTAAAGAATTTGTATCTGCGAAATTGTGGTTTGACCTACAATCTATGATACTTGGTTTCACAGCCATGGTGAGAACAAAACTATCGCGATTTCCTGGAACATTAATAAAGCCTGCTATCGTCAATCAGGACGTGGTGGATAATCATTTCTCACAGTTGCGAGGGGCTTAATGGCCAGAACGAAAATCCGACTTATCAACTAACCCAAGGAACACAGAATGGCATGAAAAGCAACACTGGTGGCATGAATAATGGCTCATTTGCTGGATTACCGAAGGAAAAAATCTTAGGAAAAAAGAATAATATGTCGGAAACAATAACGGGTCTCATCCTAGATGAACCAAATCACAACTTGTATAGTACCACTATAGTTGTTCTGTGTAAGTGTGTATAGCTGACTAATATTTTGTTTTTACGCGGAAAACAACTTTATTATACCCGGAAAACAACAAAATTAATTCACATGATAACTCTTTGATGGGACAGGTGGAAATGTACGTTTAAGTTTCAACCTTTTCTCGCACCAACCTCGGGACTGATCATAAAGTATGTGTACTGGGGGGGTGGATGGTATTCCAAAATTTTACCATAAAATTTCCGATCGAGACACTTTCATAAAAAGGTTCCGATCGAGACACTTTCATAAATACTACTTTGCTACATTGCAATTTACGGCTAGGAACATTTAGGAACATACACTCGATTTTTTTAAAAGTATATTGTATTATAAAAGTCTGTAGTTTTATTAATCATAGACATACTATGTTTCGTACCCCCCACAAATGTCGTAATTCGTTTCATACCCCCTCCAGATAATTTGTTTCATACCCTCCCAACTTACCCTCCACCCCCC